GAGCAGATTGCATCCTCTGTGGATCGTTTCGCTCTGTATGCGAACTGGTATGGGTCCAAAGTGGGGGGTAGGGTGGATTTGATGTGTGACATGACTAGTCGTTCAAAGCACTTCATAATAATGGGTGTCAGTGCCACAGGGCGGTAGTCATTGAAACAAGCTGGTGATGGTTTCTTTGGTACAGGTATGATGGTGGCAGTCTTGAAACATGATGGGACAGTGGCTTGCCTCAGCGAGGTGTTAAAGATGTCTGTGAAGACATTCTTCAGCTCCTCTGCGCAGTCTTTCAGCACACTACCAGGGATGTTGTCCGGACCTGCTGCTTTTCGGGCGTTGATGGTGATGAGTGTCCTCTTCACGCTGGCAACAGACAGGCACAGAGGCTGGTCGTGTGGAGGTGGTGGTGTTTTCTGTGGGCGTGTGTTGTTCTGTGTCTCAAATCGTGCAAATAAGCTGGAATTAAACTTAGATGTAATGTTTTTTTTGTTTTTTTTTTGCAGTGGGACCACACCTGGTCTAAAAGGGCATATCTTTATGTTTGAGGCATGCTTATTTGAAAACCAAAATGAGTTACTGTTGTTAACTCAGAAATATGATTCATATTCATATCTCTGTTTTACTGCTCCCTCTTCGAGGATAGCTGAATATTTCAGAGTGCCTGCATAAATTACCATAAATTCCCAACTCTGCTAACAGCAAAGACAGTTCTTAGCAAAAAAAGTACTGATGAATGTTGTCAAAAGATTATTGAATATAAAACATGATTTTGTGCGAGATCTTGCGCAGATATTTTGGGGCAGATTGCCATTGAACATATGGTCATGCTGATCAAATACAAATCAGAAAGCGATCAGTGCTACGATAAATGTTAGGTGTCTGAACTTTGGATCATTAGAAGAAATCATTTTTGCCGTAATAAACTGTGAAATTCATTTTTTCTACCTTTTGTGGAGAGAGAGAGAGAGAGAGAGAGAGAGAGAGAGAGAGAGAGAGAGAGAGAGAGAGAGAGAGAGGAGAGAGAGAGAGAGAGAGAGAGAGAGAGAGAGAGAGAGAGAGAGAGAGAGAGAGGAGAGAGATGAGAGAGAGAGAGAGAGAGAGAGAGAGAGAGAGAGAGAGAGAGAGAGGAGAGAGAGAGAGAGAGAGAGAGAGAGAGAGAGAGAGAGAGAGAGAGAGAGAGAGAGAGAGAGAGAGTGAGTGAGTGCTGGCATGATATTTAAAGATGATGGCAGCACCGAATAGAACAAAGCAACAGCATGCTAATAAAAGAACACGAAATAACACCAGAGAAAAGGAGACAGATGGGCTGGAAGGATTCAGGAACAGTGAAAGATCCCAGAATCATCGCTTTGCCTTATCTTTGTGCCTAAAATGTGTTTTTATCCGTGTTTTAACTGAAATGTTGGTAACTGAAAACATAATTTCATCATAATTCAGAGTTATTTTATTGCCACCCTAGGAACATATGGGTTTAACAAAGTACATTTATGGGTTGACAATCCTAAAATTGAAATGCAGCTTCTTTATTTGTGCTTTTAGACCAAAGAAGGATCTAATGCAGCATGAATCTGGTCTCAACATCTTTCTGCCTTTTAGCTTTCAACATTGAGTCTATATTTACTTCAAAATCTGCCAACTGCTGTTGATAACTGCTAACACTAATCAGAGCTGGCTTCCTCTGTGTCCATATAAGTGCTGAATGCTTTAATGTGTGCGTGTAAGCTTTAGGTCAAAACAGTAAACCCGCATCCATATCTGCAACAGACCAACGCCCAAGTGAATTTAGGTCACACTCCTGTGTCTGTTATCATCTTTCTCTTTTAACAGCTCGTCCTCTGTTTCCCTCTCCTATCTTGTGCTCACTACCTGCTTGTTCAATTTAGATTTTATCTGCCAGTGTCACATCCTTCATCTAAAGATACAGTCTGTTTGATTTTATCTCCCCCTATTTCCTCCCCTTGGGAACCTTTTGTCCAGCACCTCATGTTTGCTTCAGCTCTTGAATAAATGCCCCACTTCGTCCCTCTCATGCCAGTGTGATTAAGGGGTGATGGGTGGGGGGCACAAATGGTTTCCAGGAGGCAAGCAAAGCCCTTCTGTGAGGCAGGCTGGTGGCTGTGCTTATGGTGATGGGAGAATAATGCTGGAAGCTTTTTCTCCCTTAGCAACAGCATCCCTGTGAATCCCTCCCTCTTTTTTGTTTGCTTTTTCCTTTTTTCCTTTTTTATTTTTATTTTGCAGGCTCTCTCAAATGTCACTTTGATTTAGTCACTGTCACCTCCTCGAAAAGGAATCTATTGCTATATCTGACAGTGATTGTTTTTTTTTTCTTTCGGGGGGGGGGGGGGGGGGGGGGGGGGGGGCTTTCAAGTCATCCATCACCCTCCATCTTCTCTTCCAGTCTGGAAGGATGGTTTGTTTTAATATAGCGCTGCCCTTTTTTCACCACACAATCTGTGATAAAGGGACAGACACACAGGGAGTGATGAACAGGCAGGGAGGGTGACTTCTACACCAAGCAGAAGCCTGATTTCACTAATGTGGTTCTGTTAATCTGGGCGTCTGCTGTGCACCATCTGCCACAGCCGGCGAAGCACACAAAGCATCAGACAAAACACACACTTACAATGAGACTGTCCGGCAAATATGGCGACACAAGACATCACCAAACACACACTGACTGCTTATGAGCACATGCGGCTGCAGATCCAAAATGGAAAAGAAAAACACACACACACACGGGCGTTTTTCAGCTTCCTGTGTTTCATTGAAGAGATGGAACCCTGTAGGTAAACTGCACCTAAGTTGAAACATTTCATTCACTGAAAACTCCCTTAATATGAGAGGATGACTGACAAATGAGAAGATGCGGCTTTAAATAGCACAGCCTGTGACGCAGAAGGAGCCGACAGGTCACATCCAATCAATATCTCCATTTCCCTCGTTCCTCAGATGGGATCAGCAGAATGAAATGATTCTCCCGTCCATCAGCAACTCAGATAGAATCAAAGGTTTTCAGATGTTTGACAAGCTTAGTCATGAACTGCTCAAATTGAACATGAAACTAATGTCGCCTCCAGCTTGTACCTCAATTCCTAACCTGAACAGCAATGAAAAACAGAAGGAGCAATCAGCCCTGGGGTTAAGGTGATTTTAATGCGTGTGCACGGCATGTTGTCTTTAACAACAACAGCCAGATGAGACCATCTTTAATCCTTGCAAGCTGATCTTATTGCTACTGACCTACCCTGAGGACGTCACCACTGTCTGTCTCGTTCCCTCCATCTTTCATTCTGTCTGTTTTTCTTTCCTTTCTACCACTTGTGTTTTGAAGTGCCTGTAAGCTGTAAGTCCTCAGCAAAGGCAAGAAATCGATGACAGAGCGGAGGAGGCTGCACGTACATGAGTTCAGATAGAAAGACACATTCGTTAGCGTGGGTAGTTTGTTTTCATGCCTAGCCCACTGCCTCCTGTCTATAAAATGGATACCAGATTGGTCCGGCTCAATGTTCATTGCAATTACTGTTGCCTCTATAGATTAGTTTTATGTGTCTCATGTTTACTGTTTTGTATTTCACTCCTAATCCTCCTTTTTCTTCTTTATTATCAAATGTTCACTTTGGATGTTCCATACCTCCTTTGTCACCACAAATTGTATTTATGTGACCAAATATAGTGAAAATGGATTTGTAAACATCTTTATGACTGGGCAATGAATCAAAGCAAAGTCCATATAACAAGTCCATATGAAGTCTCGAGTCTTAATGTGCTGCCAGCAAACCTTAAGTTTATACGTCTCTTAAACTCTCAGAGAAATAAAGCCCACATCAATAAAGAATGAGTTTAATTTGCAGTTAGAAAACAGGTTTATGGGAAGATGCATGTCAGCTGTGAAGAGACAGCTCATGTCAGTGCAGAAACGACTGATTCAGAATTGTTTTGACTAACAATAACACTTGCTCTAACAGAACAAATGTATTTAACAATATGAGAACCAAACTATTCATTTCATTTTTGTGCATGCCCGTGTATTGTTGTTCTTACATTGCATCTATAATAAAAGTTTCATTTGCTCTCCCTAAATTATTTACCATTGCTGTCATATTTTCAGAAACCCATTTTTTTACTTCTAAATTCAACTGAATGTGATTCAAAGTTTAATTAGTGATAACAGCTAAATAATACTAATAAAGAACTAAGCTAAATATCTTTAGTGAAATATCCCACTTTGCTTATCTTTACCTGATCATTTTTATTGAAAAGCTGGAAGATAACGTTGGAAAGAAATGGAAGTTTTTTATTTCTTGTCTTGTCACACTACTTAAACAGAAACAATGGTGAGTGCAATTTGAGTCTTAAGACTAGGGTACCCATTATCTGACACGTGGTTTAGGTGAGAGCATCTTGACTGATTCTTACCAGCAGCACTCGATGCAGTGGGCCAGTTCTGCACCAGGACGCCTTGAGCTCCCTGCATGACCGACGACTCTTCCATGTGCACTGAACTGAAATGTAAAAGATGCACATCAAAATGTTAAAAAACGGAGAAGGTTACTTAATTCTACAGCATCCAAAGATAGGTGGTGAGCTGACATTCTGAAGTTACTAAATCTGTATTTGTGGATTTTTTATGAATTTGAGAATCAATAAAACAATGTTGTGGAACTGTATTTTTACCTCTGTAAACTGAATTGATACATGAAAAAAAATCCTGATCCCATAAAGATTAGAATGAATTGATGCTACATTTGTATTACGTTCCCCAGATTATGGACTACAGAAGGTCCTTCTTGCGTTTTCACACTTGGTCTGGTGAATTTCAGCACCTTTTCTTTTACTTGAAAAAAAATCACACTCTCTGTTGTGCTACAAAACTACAACAGATATTCTGTTACAATCCAAAGAGACTCGACTTCATGTTTATCAATACATTTGCAGTGATCTCTATTAGGAATGAAGGTCTTGTAAGATGTTCTCGGGGGAACATATATACCATTTTTTGGAAATAAAAGTTGCCCATGTCAAAGCTGAGCTTCAGACAGCAGGCTTTGGACTCGTATTTAATGATATTTGGACTTCTCAACCCAGATTGGTTAACAGCAACATGACTCTATAACTGACTTGCAGCGTGGATGTTTTATCTTCACAATTAATTCAAGCCAAGAGGAGCTTCTGCTGTGTGGTGGAGTTGCTAACAACGGCTAGCTTCTACTAGCCGATACATCTGCTGCTAATTCCTGGATGGTAAAACAACAACAGCATTTCCTGTCGCAAGTCAAGATAGGTCAGTCCATGAATGTTAAGTGACAGTGTGACGTAGATCTGACATGCCTATCACATCCAGATGTTTCTCTGTCTTTTTTCTATCAGAAGCTAATGCAGGAGACAAGTGTAGGAGATGGTTTTCATGTTCAGCCTGCATGAAAATCTCAGAGTGACTGTTTATAATCAGAAATAATCCTTTAAAAATGGGTTTTCAATTAACCACCCCTTTAAAATAATTTAATGATTTAGTATTCCAAAAAATGATTTCATGGCATGTAAAGGAGCATATTCCCTTAAAAGGTTGGTTTATTGCAACAGTGCAATCATAAAAGTTCGTGTTGTTTTGCATGAAATATAAAGGGGTTTCTTTTTAAATATATATGATCAAAACAATTGTTTTTTGTGTTATCAAATAATTTTATCTAAAAGCTTAAAATAAGACACCAAAAATTAAATAAAATGAGCTTCATTTCTAAAGCTTATCCAGATCTAATAATTACTGAATCATATTTTATTGATGACAATCAAATCATTCTTATTTTCAATTTAATCGGTTTTCTCATCAATTTTCAACATTTTAATGTTTTAGTAGGTCCACAAGTACGTTTTAGTTTTTGTTTAGAGATTAAATAGAGATGGAAACGTTGCTGTTGTAACATAATAGTGTAGAGGGTTGAGTGGTTTTAAAAAAGAGTTGGAGAAGGGCCTACCATTTGACAGCGGGTCTTTAATGAGTCAAATCTGCTCATAACATACAAACAGCCTTTTGGACCAAAGACCAAAGACAAGAACACAGCACTTCATTTCATACACTTCTGCTCAAGCACGAGCTGCGCGTGCATGCGCCATGGTGACGACTCCCCAAACTTGATGATGTTCCAATGGTATTACAAGTCTTTGACATTTGGTTGGACTTTTCCAGTTCATAACAGATCTTTCCAAAGTTAGCTTTAACTTGGCAGTTGGACTTTAAGAATTAATAGCCCTGTCTAAATACTGTTATTAGAAGCCTGGACCACTGGCCATAAACTTATCTGATAACCACTTCTGCACGCAATGCATTCTAGCTCTGCCTAGAAACAGGCTTCACAAAAAAACTCTTTAGGAGCTGATGGGAACACGTGAAGTTTCCAATCAACAATCAAGCTCTTAACCCAAAGATTCACAATTCAGCTCTGTACTGTTTGTACAGATGACCTCTTGTCCTTTACGGCCACTACAACAGCTGTGTGCAATCCTAAATATATTTCATACAAGACCTGATTATGTCACAGCATAAACAGATCAACCTTCAAAGATGTTTAAAAAGAAGATAAATCAGTGAGTCAGGAAGCAGAACTAGTATGAATTATTGGTTCACTCAGGTTCATTCTTTCTGATTAGTATAATTAAAAGGGAGTCTGTGACAACAATGATTGTTGCTATAAACAGTGTGGACATTAGCTGGTACATGTGGATACGTTGATATGTATTTGTATGTAGATATCTAAACTACCCCAGACAGTATATACACAGAGACTATATATTTTTACACCATGTGCACTAGCAGTGTAGATACCAGCAGCAACTAGCATGTCTGTTTAAACATGAGTATCTTAGTTTTTCTCATATTCATAACCATAAAATAAAACAGTCTTGTCAAAAACACTGAAATTCCACTTGTGTTTTAAGGTTAATATTGTGGTTTATATTTTCAAAAATAAAAGATGGTTGTGTGTGACAAAATAAACACAGGATACACATCAGACCTGTGACTATTTATACTTTTGTGACATTTCACTATATTGACCCTTGACTCAGTTTTCAGGGTCTTGTGGGTGATGCAGTAACTGGGGGGGGGGGGGGGGGGGGGGGGGGTCATGCAGGAGTCACCATGTCCCTGATAATTCATCTGTCCACCCAACAGCCTGCCCTTCATACATCCCTGACCGCCGTCCTGCTCACTCTACCCTCCTGTCAGTCCTCCATCTGTCTATGGTAACACTGAGATAGACAATGAATATCACTGATTCAAATCAGATTTTTGGTCTCATTCAATTATCAGTTAAACAAGGAAAAGCAAAAATCATTACAATTACTTATTTTCCTATTTGTATTTGTTAGATATTTGAACAGAATCAGGTCTGTGTAACATAATGAAATGACTGTTTTCCACCAAAAGTCATTTTCCCCCTCTCCTCTGACACAGAACCAGTCTACATGAGATATGGCCTCAAGATCCCATGCATTTGCTATAAACTGCTTTCTTTCCAGCTCAAGAGAAGAATAAAGAATGAACTCTTTCCTTTTAATAAATCAAAGAACTCTATTTTAATAAAGCTAATCAAACAAAGTGTTAGTCAATAATAAGATGTGACCAATCTGTGAAATCAAAATATTACTTTATTATAATCCTATAGTATATAATAAGTAAGATGACTTTAAATTTTTCCACTAGGACTGATCTCACGTAGCGTCAAGAGATGACACATTGCTTTACTGATCCAATCAGAATCTGCCAGATCTGACGGAGGCATGGTTTTGGTGGTGCTTGGTAAATCTGTCATCTTTTCATTCGACCATAAACCAAAACATCCGAAGTATAAAACTATGCCCATGTCATCTTTAACACCAGTTCAAAGCATTCTAGAAATTGTTGGAGTGGCAAATCCGTAACTTTCCTCTTCAGCCAAAAGAACCAACAACAAGCTGGATAAAATCTGTTGCTGTTCCAACTGCTGCAACGGTTCCTTTCAGAATAAAAGCTGAACCATCACGACCCAGGTTTGGGTCTCGCTAGATGCCCACAAACTGTTGTGACCCGGAAGTATCTCAAGACTGGAGGTCGGCTGCCGCGACTGTTCCTACAGACTTCGGCTCTAAAAGGTCAAGCTGGACCTCTTCACCTCCTGATCTAGACGGGGACTTCTGCTGGACCTCTTCACCTCCTGATCTAGACGGGGACTTCTGCTGGACCTCTTCACCTCCTGATCTAGACGGGGACTTCTGCTGGACCTCTTCACCTCCTGATCTAGACGGGGACTTCTGCTGGACCTCTTCACCTCCTGATCTAGACGGGGACTTCTGCTGGACCTCTTCACCTCCTGATCTAGACGGGGACTTCTGCTAAGGGTATGTAGGCCGACAAGAATGGCGTCGAATGTGTTTATGAATCTCCTAACCAAAGCTTAGCGCGAAGACATCACCTTCACTTCCCATCAGAACTAATCATTTCTTTGGATTTGCTGGTTCTAAGCAACATTCCACACTACGCCATTCTCCGTCTCATTCACCTTAGTTACACCATACATTTAGTGTTAAAGTTAGTCTAGTTTTAATTTGTTTAGTTATAAATCTTTAAAATTTTAAACTTGACTCTCTCTTTCTTCTGTTGTTTCTGAATTAATACGAGGTTGTTATCTAATCCCTGCAATAAAAAGTTCCAATCTTCTGGTTAAACAGTACCCACAGATCCATAAGGTTGATTTCATATGTCCTATGGAATCCTATGTCTTATGGCTTATTAAGTAACATGTAATTTAAATCATTACATCTGAAAAAGAATCAAATTACTGTAGCTGAGATGGTTGTGAAGGACACATTTTTGAAGACTTTAAGATCATTTAGCTTGTGAAAAAAATAAATGAAGCAGAACTTATTTGTTGTAAAGTTTAGGGTTATTAATCTAGAACAGCACTTTTAAGATGTTGGTAGTTTGCAAAGAGGATTGGAGTTGTTTATTAGACTGTGTTCCAAGGTGTTTATTTTTATTTCATTTTTGTTCAAAGTCTCATTATGTTTAAAAAAATAAGTACTTCGAGCATCACAATGCCATTCCAAGTATTGTTTAGTTATTATTAGGATTATGTATTAATTTGCAAGGTTATGATGGATGGAATCAACTTCAGGGTGAAAAAAAAACAATATATAAAAATGAATTTAAAGTGATGAGCTGGTCTGTGCATTAAAACATTTTTGGAATTTATCAGATTATATAAATAGGAATTTTTATGTTTTCAAGTGAAGTGACTAATGGAGTAGTTTAAGCAAAGAAAAAAAAGTTGCTTACCTCTGCATTACACCTCCTGCTCTCAGGGAGGCTGAGTATCTCCAGTCCGAGCTAGGCACCTTTGGCTGCAAGAGAAGATGAGAGGAATTGAGTCTTAAGTACAGGTGAAAGCCAATGCCGCCTCATTAATAAATCACGGTGAGAACTGCTTGTGGATTGGCTCCACACATACACACACATGGAATCAAGAAGTGACAGCTTTCTCCTGCCTTTCAAGAGAAGTGAGTAATGAGCAGATTAATGTAATCTTGTTGATGCATGCATCTCCCCTCTTGTTGATCTATACCGCTCACCTCACCCCTACTACCCCCTCCCTCTCCTTATGTTTTTGACTTTGAAAAGTAAAAGGACATTTAAAGATTTTACGTCAACTGATCCTGCTGTAGCACAAATGACCTGAAGCAATACACCCAGAGTACATCTTCCTATTGCTGCACAGCCCATTAACACAGCAAGGCTCAGGAGTTCTCCTGTTGATAGGTGCATTGTTAAAAGACCCAACTAAATTTTACAGACACAGGCTAAATGTCCTCCATCTTTTCTCAATTATCTGGTCTGGCATAAAAACAACCCAAAAAGGAGAAATAAGTTACAAAATGTTTTCAACATAGCCTAATCTGATTTATTTTTAACACAGACTTTCAATATTTCAAAACATTTCCTGTTAATGCCTCTTATTCCTTCCCTTCCTTGTCTTTTTCACTAGCTTCTTTCATTTGCTGTCCACCTTCCCATGCTTCATCGTGTTCACTCTGATCATAACCTTGAGTTTCATCACTGCCTGACACAATATGGCAGGTTTCACCATGGTAACTATGCAGAACTCTGTCTATATTTTACTCTACACCCACCAGCCTGTCATTTTGGTTCTGTGAAGGTCATAGGTGGAACGCAAGTATCAACTTATCTTCCTCAGCACTGACACTCTACCAGTCCTACAACCAAGGAACACAGAAGGACACTTAGTGACCAAATCCTCTACCTGGATGCATGGAATGTAGCATACTGACATTAAATGAACCATTCACATTGTTCTTTTGATGCAATAGTAAATAAAAAAAGCTATTTAAACCAGAAGGATTTTGTTTAGGTAAATAAATAAATAATCCTATGCGGTTCCATGGAAGATCACCCCAAAAAGGAAGAACAAAATGCTGGTAATCTAACCAAATAAGCAGGATGAGAATGCATTTTCTCTCATCTCAAGCTTTACTGAGCTGAACCAACCTGAATGAGGACACAATATTCTCATTGGTTGGCCAAGCAGTTCATTTGCAATCTAATTTCCATTCAAATTTGACAGATGTTCACATGCTGCTGAAGCTGCATTGACCTCTCTGCAAATGCAGTGCACATTCATCACACTTGAAACTCAATATTTAGTCCTAATGAGAGAAGCTTATTCCTCCTGGAGTGATCCAAAGAAAAAAGAAAAGAAAATATATACGGTTCACAAAGAATCATAGCATAGCAGCATCAGGGTGAAACTCCATTAGATGAAGACAATCGACCATTCAAAAGCACAAAGAGTGTGGATCAATAGTTTACTGGACAAATAAGAGAATTAGTGTGGAAGTATTTACTCTGTGGGAAACATGTTGCTTATTTAAATTCCTGCACAAGGCAAAAAGCCATAATGTACTAAAAAAGTGATTATCCACAAATGAAACTAAACAGCTTTGTTTTTGTCAATAGTTGCATGGCTTTTTCCAAAAGAAGACTGGGTTATTTGGCCATATGGTGTTTGTGGGGATCTGCATAGAATACAAGCATCTGTAATATAAACTTGTCTGCAGCTTAGTATGCACCCAAGGGGAATCGAATTGACCGAACTGGAATGTTACCATTTAAAACAACAAATGCATATGAAAAATACAAAGGAAAGAAAAAGAAAAACATTATAAATGTTTTGCTAGGCCCCTTTCCGATCCTTTTCTTCATTTCTGGCCTCTTCCTGAGTGAAATCCCCTTGCATGGAGACAGAGCTCACACCTCCACCAACAACACTGTGTCCAATCACCTTCTATCCCCCGCCTCACCAGCTTTTAGGCAGCCAATCCACACACACAGAGCTGGAAAACACATTGCTGCTATTTAATTACACAGCAAGCTCAAGCATGACTTGCATGTAATAAGGATCGAGCCAAGTGATAGCATCACAACAACCTTAATCGTTTCCGTATTGCTTTTATAGTCACTTTTATTCTCTACTCTTTCCTACCCTGCTCAGACAGACTCTTCAGCTAAATAAAAATAATGTATTGATATAGTAAAAATGCATCATTAGCAATTACCAGCAATGTTAACCATTCAAAACATTTTTAAACACCCTGTCACTGTGGGTGCTGAAATACCAGGACATTTCTAACTTGAGCTAAACGTCAAAACCCAGTTGCTATTTATATTTTCTTCACCAAATTCTAAGTTTATTAAAAACTGTTTACTATGAGAAAAGCACATAAATGCAAGACTATGGTTTAGATGCTGTGAAGTTGGTGGCACTTCAGCACTAGTTTTCATTTGCCTTTAAGTATCCAGGACAAGTATCCAGTGCTCTCTGAACTCACTTTACAACTGTAGCATACGATCCACTATAGACGACTGACTCTGTGAGATATTGTGTGACTTTGTAAGTCACTGAGATTCTAGAATCTACTGGACTGTTCGGACTGAATTTAGAAATGTGAGTAAAAAATTCTCCAAACTTCATACCTGGGATAAATACATTATTATCTGATATTTTCATAAAGATTGTGAATAACGTTGAGACAACCTAAACAAGAAAATCATGTGATCTGTTTGTTAATTATGGAATTGCATTACAGAAACTCACATGTCAGATTCTCATTTTAAACTAAATATCAAACACTTTTTTTAAAAAGCTACAGAAATTCTGCAATACGTTTTAAAAGAAAATCTTTAGTGTAGTTTTCAAAACATTTCACAAAATTGCTGCAGACACACACCTGAATGGCAGTTGCATCTGGCATACTGAGACGCCGTACAAATATCTGGCTCTGTCCACTGTGGCTGGTGACATACCCTGACCCCCAGGTGCCACTGTGCGGCCTTCCCGTGTTGTAGAACATAAACGTGTCACTTCCTGATGTGGCAGTCAAGCATGTCTTGTAACAGTAAGTTTTAGTCAAAGAACCATTTCCTCGCACTTCAATATAATGCGGCTCCACTTTGAGGTCACGTCGAAGAGCAACGTTGATGTTTTGTTGTGTTGCTGTAGCTCCTCCACCTACAGCTCTTCCTCCACCACCTGCAGAGGTGCCGCCCTCTGGCATACTTTTCTGGGAGACACAACATGGACAGCATGAGCCAGTCTTGGTGCAGTACTCATGACACCGCACAATGGCTAGAACAAAGACGGTGACCAGAAATACAAAAGTTGTGGCACAAAGGGCTATGATGAGGTAAAGTGTGACAGGGGAAAACATTAGTGGGCTGTCAGGCCTCACAATGCGCTTTGTGTCAGGGGTCAACTTTGGAAGCAGCTCCATTACATGAACATGGATGGTGGCGGTGGAGGAGAGTGGAGGCATGCCATGGTCACAAACCACGACTGTCAGAACAAAGCTGGTAGAGTTGTCCTCAATGACCCTCCTTGTGGTGCGAATCTCACCCGTGTACTCATGCACCTTAAATAGATTGAGGACTGTGCTGGTCGGATCCAGGTCGTAAAACAGCCAGGCATTCTGCCCCGCATCACCATCCCATGCTGTAACCTTGCTAACTAGTACTCCTGCTTCTGCATTCTTCATGATAGTTTCGGTTGTGTGGCTCCCGTTGGCAGGAGGGTAGACAATCCTTGGCACGTGATCATTCTGATCCATAATGTAAACATATACTGTGGCCACACGGCTGAGAGGAGGCACACCATTATCCTGGGCTTTAATCTGAAAGTGAAACTCCCGCAGCTTTTCAAAGTCAAAGGCTTGGAGGGCGTAGGCCTCACCTGTGTTGGGTTTGATGCTGACGTAGCTGGCCACAGGGATACCATGATTGTTATCATTGAGAACAGTATAGGTGATGCGTGCATTTTCTGCATCATCAGCATCCGTTGCCTTGACAACACACAGAGATGCACCAGGAGCATTGTTCTCTGTTATGTAAACAGTATAGGATGTCTGCTCAAAGCGAGGTGGGTTATCATTAACATCTGCAACTTCTACCCTGAATGTCATTTCAGCAGAAAGAGGCAGAGCTCCTCCATCTACAGCGCTGACTGTGATATTGTAGGATGAGATGGATTCTCGGTCTAGGAAAGCAGATGTTACAACGGTGTAGTGGTTTCGGAAGGACTTGATCTTGAAAGGCAGGTTGGGCATGATCTCAAGGGTCACTTGTTTGTTTTGTCCAGAATCCCGATCATTGATGCTGATCAATGCCACCACTGTGTCAGCCCGAGCATCTTCACGCACAGGGCTGGAGAGTGAAGACAAAACAATCTCAGGAATGTTGTCGTTGGCGTCCAAAACCTCCACAACGACTTTACAGTGCACTGCCACAGGGGCTGGACCCTTGTCCATAGCCTGAATGTACATTTCATAGGAGGTGGTTTCCTCATAGTCTATGTTATTTTTCACCCTAATTTCCCCTGTATGTATGTCCATAGAAAACATCTGCCTGACTCGTTCAGGTGTGTAACTGCTAAAAGAGTAAAAAACCTCTCCATTTGAGCCCTCGTCCGGGTCTGTTGCATTTAATCGGATCACAAGTGTCCCTTTTGGAGAGTTCTCAAAAACTTTTACTTTATACACAGAACTGCTGAAAGCAGGGACATTGTCATTGGCATCAAGGACACGGACGTTGATTTTGGCTGTGCCAGTTCTCTGTGGGGTGCCTCCATCTACAGCTGTCAGGACAAGCTGATGGGAGGGCATGTGCTCCCGGTCAAAGGGCTTCTTCAGGATGAGCTCAATTTGTTTATTATTGGAAAAGGCTTTAGAAGACTCTAAAGAAATGTGTTCGTTTGGACTGAGTCTGTACTGCTTCACTGAGTTGGGACCGTCATCAGCATCCTGGGCTCCCTCGATGTGGAACCGCGAGCCCGTGAGAGCTGACTCCGACACCTCAAGTTGATATTCATCTCGAGGGAACTGTGGTGCGTTATCATTCACGTCTAAGATCTCCACCTCCACGTTGTGCCTTTCCAGCGGGTTCTCTAAGACCACCTCCAGGTTGCGCGAACAGGTGCCACTAAATCCACAAACGGTCTCTCGGTCAATGCGGTCACTCACCACCAGCTTCCCGGTTTTGTGGTTTATGGTGAAATATCTCCGTCCACTGTCCGATGTAATTCGGATGCGTCGGGTGGAAAGTTTTCCCAGATCCAGATCCAAATCCCGAACGATGTCACCAACCTGCGCTCCATTTTCCAGCTCCTCCGGAACGGAGTATTGAATTAGTGCGTTAGTTAAGCCACTGAACACGAAGAAAAGCAGAAATAAAGAAAAAGTCACGTACTCCATTACACTGTAGCAGCATCGTACTGTCACAGCCATCGCAGGCAAGCAGAAATAAAACATGATTTAGAGAAATCTTTCCGCCTTTCCGGCTTGCTGCGGGTCCCCACCCGCCTCATTAAAACCAGAGAAATAGTCTCTGCATAACTCCGGCTATGAGCAGGGTAAATACTGCATCCTCTCCTCCCTTTGCCAAAAAAAATTCTCCTGTGCATCCATGTTTTTCATTGTCTGTATGGCTGTTGTTTTCAATACAGTCTACCTGTATTGCAAAGCTGTCTCCATTCCTCTGTTGCTGCGATTGGTCTCCCTCTCCTCCTTTGCCTGTGACGGTGATGCTGTCGGTGGGCAAAGAGGGGGAGGAAGAACCACTCCGACAGCGCTGGCTGCATTCAGCACCTCCGATCGAACACCAAATAAGCGTTAAACCACTAAATAACAAAAAGGTTTCGAGTTTTATAAGCATGCGTTGTGTATGCGCGCAGCTAATTGCAGCATGAAGCAGACGGGAAAAGCCGAGCGCAGATTTCGAGGATTTTAAAACGTTTTTTTTTCTGTATTTTTCCTCCTCTCTCTTGTCAGTGCCACCGCCCTGTTATGAACAACTGATTTTTATTAACCACTCCGCCGGTAGAAGTTCCTCCCTGATTCCAGTTAATGATGGAGAATGAGCCAGAGAAAACCCGAAGCAGAGCGTTAGAATACAAGAGAGTTATTTAACAAAAGGCATCGATCTAAAAAAGATTAATTTAAATCCTGACGCACACGCGCACGCACTCACACGAGGAAGAATAAATATTGCCAATACATAGGTGGCTGCTCTAACTTGAACTAACAATTCATCAATTAATGCATTATTCATCTAATGATATCCTAATTTAATAATGACAGTGTTTTGCACATTTTGGACTCCGGTGCTGCAGCTGAGCAGACGCAGACCTGTTTTGCTACAATGTCCACTGTCTTAGTTAAAAGCACAAGACTGTGACGTCATGACGCTGTACGCTGCTGAAGACCTTAACCGGGTCACAGACAAGATGCTCCAGATGTGACCTTCATTTACATCTGGTAAAACACAAGGATAAATAAAATAGACAACTTTTGTGCAGACTGTTCAATCTTCATGTAATTTTCTGTTGATCTTTCACCCTAAAACTCCAAAATCAACTCAATCAGCAATAAGACTAAAGACGGATTAAGACAAGCTAAAAGTGCTCATTTCCAAAAAGATAAAAATGTTTAACTAAAAATCTGAGAAACGTGAGACAATGTTAGTTTAAATGTCCTTTTCCCAAAATCATTTGTTTTTCAATTTAAAGATTTATAAACTTTGTTAAAAAATGCAAAATCTTTTCCTTTGTCCGTTATAAGGTTTGAACAACCCTTAATACATTTTATTTACTAATTAGTATTATTATTTTTTCGAAACTGGGTTTGTAATGAGGGTTATATGCCATTTAAAGCATGCTGATGCAATAAAAACACATTGTACGGTGTGCAGAAATGACTTTGTGAAACCCTGGATCCTTTTGCTTCACTGCAGCCACTGGGCCAAGATAAGTGTCTAACTCCCACATCATCCGTTCCTTTTTCTGGTGTTTTGCCACTCTCACCCACGCTACACTTGCCCACAGCGATGACAGAGCCTGGCATCCGGGAAGACAGTGACTCACATTGATGGTGCTAAAGGATGCTGAAACTCTTCAAAGTCAAAAATCAACAAATAAGGCAGTGAGGCTGAGAGGAAGGGTAACGTTGGTTTTTAGGGACATATTTGGTAGATTATAATGTCAAAGTGCATACGATGACAGCATGTTATTATGTTTTAATCTGATTAAACTGCATATTTATTTATTTCATTATAGCATCATCATTTTCTTTTCAATGGGGACTAAAATCTCACTATGTTTATCTAACATAACTAAAATTAAACATATTTTCTATAGCGTTTTTAAACTTTTGTGTTTTTAAAGTAAAAGAAAATAGGTGATAGCTATTAACATTCCTGTCCTTCTCACCGTCAGCTTTCCTCATACCATATTTTCTTCGAATACCTGTCATATACCTTCTCAAAATGTGTCCATCTGTTTCAGTAATATTTGCATGTCTCAGAATTGTAGATTACTTTGTTTACTCAAGAGTGCTGTAGATAATGTTATCAACACCTGCAGACAGATGTCTGTCTCGCTTCATCAAACGCTAATTAAAAAGTCAATTGTCTGCTTTTTTGTCAAATTATATCATTTCCTAATAATATTTTGCTATTATTTACATTGAACAAGACACTAATGAGTTGTCAGTAGATCTCTGTTGGAACTTTGAAAATTTTAACGGATTTTTGTTCCCAATCCTTGCAGACACTGAATTTTCTCTGGCTTTTGACCGAATGCAACACTAATCGTCAGCTGCTGTTCCAGCAGAGAATTGTCTGAGAGAAATATCGAGTTTTACTGAAAATGACAATAGTTATGGACTGAAAAGTGGATGCAACAAAAAATAAAAAATAAATAACAGCTTTGTAAATGCAGAACGGTGTAAGCAATTAATAAAACAATAATTCAGATTTTAAAAGGGAAGATATTCCCTTTGTTTCCCCTAACTGTCATATTATAAATGCCCCAAATGTATAAATTATTCGGTTTTGCCACTAGATTAATAATGTCCTCTCAAACCTCATTAATACTGTAAGCAGCCACTCTAAAAGCCATTTGTATGACTTCCCCTAGGAGACTTTTCTGTGGAAAACCCCATTTTAGTGAGTCAGATTACAAAGAGAACTACAAAGAAGCAGGTCATGGTGGGGCTATCATGAGGCTGGACTCCTTACATCATTCCCTCAAACAGAGGCAGTCATGCAAACGTAAAGGGCATTTGAGCCTGTTGGCCATTACACTCATTCTTGAGATGTGCACAGAACAACAATAATGTTATCTGAGGACAAAGTCATCATGTCTGAATAAATGTCGGAAGATCTTTAGCAGTTGTCCCCTTTTGTTTTTAAATGTCATGAAACCGTCTCCAGCCGAGAGCTTTCATGAACAGATTTATTTCAGGGAACGGACGCAGGTAGATGGAGGACATACAGGGCAAAAACAAGAATTATTAGCTCACTTCCATTATCAAAGATTCTGAAATTAGGCTTGTTATCTTACAACTGAGCTTTATTTCATTTAATCTTAACCTTTCTGAACATATTTGCATAATAGGGAAAATAATCCTTTAAAAACTGTTTAGTGCAAGTAGGGCTGTGGTGTATAAATCTGATCCTCAAAGGCCATACATATCATACCGTTTTTTAATATATCCTCTGAATGGATATGATTATGACAAATGTAAAATAAGTAATTATAGTTCCTAATGGTGGACCACATGCAGTTACCACAAAATGATTTATCACTTAAAGGATTCTCAGGGCTTCGCTCCAGTTGTATCTGTACTAATGGACATGAGCATAAAATAACCCATGCAACTACAAAGCATTATTACTGGGAAAATTGTAACATCAGTTGTATATTAGGAGTAATGAGTCAGTATAAAGGAAAAGGTCAATAGCAACAGCACTGCAAAGTCACTCCTGATGTCGGTGGGAGAGAGCCTGAGCCAGGAGAGGCAGAAGGTGGGGGAGACAGTGAAACTGGTCCCTCTGTTGGAAAATATCGGTAGTACAAGGGGTGGACACGTGATCTCCACCTCTCTGCCCATCCACCCAGGCTTTATCATTAAGCCGGAGCACTAAAACATAATCCCATCAATGTGTGTGTGTGTGTGTGTGTGTGTGTGTGTGTGTGTGTGTGTGTGTGTGTGTGTGTGTGTGTGTGTGTGTGTGTGTGAGACAGAGACAGAGACAGAGACAGAGAAGAGGAGAGTGGAGAGACGTGGATCTAAACCATTGGTCAAGCGTTTTAGCAACTACACCACCATAGGCAAATATTCTAAAGAAACAGCTTCAGTAAGACATTAATACATTTAACTATATTTTTACCCACTGTGCCACACAAAAGAATGTATAAATATGTGCTAAAGAAGTATTATCTCTTCAGAGAATGTTCTTGTAAACTAAAATAGTGCCCACAAAAATCTCCACTGAACTAATGCTATATCTTAGGGAATTAAAACAGATTGTTCATCAGTCTTTCTAAAAAAAATGCTTAAATGAGTCTTTACAAAATGGCTCACCATCGTGTAGAACAGAATTGGGTTTTCACATCTTTAATTTCCAGGCTGAATAAATGTCCCATCTATAATTCCCTGACAAAGTCCCCTGGAAACCACAATACTTGGGTGCATGGCAACTGCAAGGAAAGCGCGTTCTGTATTTACTCTGATCCCGTGTGTACCTTTTCTTCCAAAAGTAAAGGGCATGAGACAACAAAAATGCAGAACAAATCCCTCCTCGTGGGAGCTAGTGAGGGTTAAACAGCTCCTCGGTTTTCCCTGATTCAACCATGAATCAAACAAATTCTCACTGTGGAGCTGAACAAAGCTATCAGGAAATGCAGGCAGGCTTTCGATACTTCCGTCTCAGACTGGCCTGGCTTTTCATTCCAGCCAGATGGGAGAAGATGGAGGCTGGGGTTCTGAGCATGACAAAGCTAATCTAATGACAACCAAAACAGACCGATGCCACTGAAGCAGCATGGAGGAAAGCTTGGTGAAAGTAGGGGATTGGTGATAAGTTCCTCTTTTTATCTGTGACCAATTGTAAGCCTGTGGTGTTCTCACTCAGCTGGAGGGCATGCATTTAATGTCTCTCTCTCTCTCTCTTTTTTTATCCAACTCATCCTCAAATCCTCCAGTTTTCTCAATGCTCGAGGCTTGATTCTGTGCTGCTGAATTAATAACTCCCTCTAAAACCTGTTCCCATTTTGAAACAGATTTTCTATCCTTACACTATTTTCCCAATTTCCTTTGCTCACATCTTCTATTGTCTAGCTGACTAAACAGTTCTGATGAGGATACTGCACCTTTTTGCATGCATTTTGTTTTAGTCTCTTTTCTGTTTTCTTTGTGTGCGTGCTGTTTCCTGTCAGGTTGCATGCACACGCTGGGATGGAAGTCTCAGTGGGGGTGGGTACATACGGGCAACTCCCTGGAAGCAGATTGGCTCATCATTTCATTACAGCTCAGAGCAGTCTCCATGGTAACCATACGGATAGCAGCACTAACCTCACTCTCACACAAAGGACACACCCTTGTGAAGGAGGAAAACAGGAAGTGCTTCATGAAATGTCTGCATCAGAAACTCTGATTTAATGTCCAAGTCACTTTTTTATAAGACAGTATGTTTATAGGGTCAGGATATTTTAATGCCACCCCTTTAGTCTAGCTGTTGAGCACATCTGGATAAATGATTTGCAATATAAAGCTTCCGCATCAGGATACAAATCTAAAGCTCTAGTAACAACAATAATGCACTGTAAAATTAATAATTTCTTGTAATTTGCTGCATGGGGGGAGTGAAGGTTAGAAGCTTTTGCGACTCTGAACTCTAGCTTTTCGGAAACTATTGAGGAAATTAAGCTTTTATTTAAATTAATGAATAACTGTGTATATTATTTATCACTATCACGATTGTTATCAACACATCTCCTAAACATCCGTCTAATGCAGGCAGCACACGACCACATAAAATAAACTGCATAATGATCTGAAGGTTACCATCTGCCTAAAAGCCTCTCTTCCCCTTTTCCTCCTGCAGCTGTGAATGACAGTAAGAGTTGTTCTGCCCCGCCCAGCTGCAGAGGAGAGCGAGAGGGACCGGAGAGCTGAACCGAATGGAGTTGCTGATACCTCGATCGGAACGGAAGCTCCCTGCTGCTGCTGCAAAGGGTAGCGGAAAATTACCTGCCCCTCCCCCCTATCCCTGCCTGCACACACAGAGAGAACTGCAGCACACAAACACAGAGAGATGGATCCAGACATGGTTTTAGGAGTGCTCGGAGCTTGTGCATGCACAGTAAAGGGGATCAAAGAGCACGCACACACATAACACACCGGTTCAGTCAGATGGTGCATGTTGAGTGCGGCCATGTTTAAATCACTCTCTGACCCAGTTAAAAGAAGCACAGACTCACACTCGTCTCTTGATTCTCACAGAGCTCTGATTCCCTTTATTTTCCTCAGCGAAAAAAAATCAAATGACCAGTGTTTCAACAGATCAGGCCACGTTTGTTTACACCAAACCACTCCCTGAAATGAGGTCATAGCGTCTCAGCGATTCAAAGCATCACGAATCCATTTCAACAAAGTGCACGACTGAGTCTCACCAACATCGTGTGAGCAATGCCCACCGGCAATAGCAAAATGCCACAACTCTATGCTGCTAAATGTTACAGGAATGCACGTGACTTCACTCCAAACAGGATTTTGTAAATATATTCAGGATGGTAATGAAAACATATTCAATCATGTTTACAGAGCTTCAGAGCTGATAGCATACATGCCTGCAGAAATAGTGTTAATTTCCTGTTAGATTGTTCAGCTGCTCCCCTTCAGGAGAGTGAAGGGTGGGGGAGGGGAAGAAATCCAGCAGCAAGGAGGACAGGACAGAGCAGACTAGAAATGTGGGTGTAAGATACTGAGACATAGAAGAACACTTGGTACAGTGCACATGTGACTATAATGAAATGTAAATGATCATTAAAAAATAAACAGTAGACCAGCATAATCAATCATCACCTCATTTAAAACATGCAGCTCAAGAAAATGAATGTAAAAGCATCAAAATGGTGCAGATAAATTAATTTCAAATATAGAAGGTTGTTTTGTGTTTCAGTGTGATAGCTGATTTCTGAGTGTGGAGCCTCTTTTTCTACAAACAGCAGAACGATAGCAGCACTAATGGTGAGTATGGGCATGGGTGTATAGATATATAATATAAGTGCAGGAAACAAAAAGTGAGCAAATGTCTGAATGCAAAAGATTATGTATTTTTTTATTCTGCTATCACTATAGAGTTCTAAAATGCAATAAAATATAGTTTATATTGTCTATCTGAGATGCCTCATTTATTAAATGTAGCAAAAGCAAAAGAATAAATGATGGAAAGTCAAAGTTGTCAGTAACTCAGGTCTCAGTAATCTATGGTCAGATGAAGGAAACTGAACTTTTTTTTAAAGCACACAGTCACCTTCAATTCAACGTACTAGCATTAAGTGATGAAATGTTCTAATATGCTCCTTATTTTTGAAAATTCACTTTGAGAGTTTACAGGACAGAAATGCAAATGTCCACAAAGGATGAAATATCAACAAGATATACTTAAATCACCATATTTTAGGATTTTTGATTTTGACTGTGCATTCTGAAATAGCCTACCGGTATGTACATTTACTTTATTTGGAATGCAAAAGGTTGAGCAATTTGATGTTGCCACAACATATTTTTAAATACATTTACAATTGTCTTTAAAAATTATTTGATTAAGTTATCCAAATGTGATTGTTGTTATGTTGTTGAAATTAGGAGACATTTACATTCCCAACCTGTTTATTTAAACTGATCAAATCTCCTCAACACATTATAATAAATATTATTGTTTCTCTGTTGACACACATGATGGCGGAGTTAGGAGCGACAAGGCCCTACTACACTGAAGATGTTCAGGACCATGGACAGTGCTCATAGAAAAATCCAAAGGGCCAAGTCCTGACCAAGGAAACTATTTTTCCTGAAGGGAAAGCTCTACATAATATCAAAATATGTTGTTTTTTATGTAAAAAAAAAGGTGGAACACATCTTACCTTTTCTTTGCTAGGTAAGGTCTGAGTTCTGGTAAAAGTGTCTCCTCCATTAATACTGAGCAAATCAGCATCTACAGGCGGGAACGGGGCGGGGAAAACCACTACGTCACTCTTCAGTGTGTCTGAGCTGAAACACACGTCATACTGCTGAGTAGCTTTAGAGTAAGACCAGCTCCCGTCAGGGTGGGTGGTGATCATCGGGGCGCTGTACCTGCTGAAACCACCGTCTGTCCTGTGGCATCTGACAGCTATTAGACTGATCAGACTCAGAAGAAAGATGACCGACACCGACACGATGGCGATCAGCAGATACAGGTTCAGATCCGAGAAGCTGTCCTCCTTTAGAGGCACGTTTCTGAACTGAGTCTGGATGTCAGCTGTGCTTTCAACCACCACCACATCAATAGACACAGTAGCTGACAGAGAAGGCTCTCCGTTATCAGAAACCAGCACCACCAAGGGGTGACTCTTCAGGTCGTTGTCGCTCATCCTCCTCTTAGTCCTGATCTCCCCGGTGCTGGTTCCGATCCTGAACAGGTTGTTTCCTTTGGGCTCCGTCAGGTGATAAGAAAGCAGCGCATTGTATCCAGAATCTGCGTCCACAGCCCTGATCTTTGCTACAAAGTACCCTGCTTCAGCAGAATAGGGGATGGTCTCACTGTTAACAGAACCCAGCTCAGAATAAGGAGCCAGAATTGTTGGATTGTTGTCATTTTCATCCAGGATTAAAACGTTAACAGTCACGTTGCTGCTGAGTGGAGGAACACCAGAGTCTGTGGCCTGAACTTTAAACTGAAATGTTTTTAGCTCCTCGTAGTTAAAAGACTGCAGGCTGATGATGTCTCCATTTTCAGCATTTATATTTACAATTGAAGTTATTGGAATATTAATTGAAAGATCACCTAATAGTGAATACCTTATTTTAGCATTGTCTGCTGTGTCCGGGTCTGATGCAGTAATGTGGGAAATAGTAGACCCTATTGCACTATTTTCTTTCACAAATACAATACTTACAGGCTCTGAGAATAAAGGGGCATTATCATTCA